GTAGACTATAGTAAGGAAACATCCACAGAAAAGACTTCGTTTTTATACATTAAAACTAAGGAAAGGCAAATGGTCTCATCAAACTGCAAATAATTACATGTAGCATACAACATGGTGCGGTGAAACAAGAGCTAACAGATGCAGACGACAACCTGTGCTTCCGCTCCGAAAGCCGATCACAGCGCCAGTCCTAACGCGGCGGCTGCACTGGTTCTGCGCCCTCATGGCAAAACAATGTTCATTTTGGGCAGACGCGTTTTGTCAGGCATGATACGCAGTCTTTACCGTTCTATAACTAAGTGGTTCAAGGGGAGTGACATGTTTTTCTAGCGGCATAATGATAAATAAAGAGTTTGAGCAAAGGGTTAGTGCTTAAAATGGCACAAAAAGAGGAGCACAAGCATAAATTACCATTCATATTCACCACGAATTATACCCTCCTCATGTAGCACCATTCGGGAACAAATGTATTTCTATAAGTATCTGCATTCCGGAATACTTTTTTGCCGTTTTGCAGAAGTATCTCAGGGATATCCCGTTACATAAAAGGCAAATTTATCTCAGTACCTGTATTTTGGGCCATAAAACGGAAGTATCACAGTATTTGTATTCCCAAATACTTTTTGTAGTATCTCTGCCCAGCCCTGTCACATGCACACCTACATAATAGCTGCAGTTAATTTTTGCAATTTTGCTGCAAGGTTTTATTGTCAGATCAACATGTACCATATCCCAGATGTTTAATTTCTTAATACCCTGCTCATTAGGTAAGTCTTCCCCTAGTACGATAGTGTGTTGCAGAGAAGCAAACCTGACAAAACTGCTGTTTACAGTACGAGTGTCTTCTCCACAGTGCACTAAAGCCTATCGAGAAGTGCACTCACTAAAGCTAGTGTGGCCACCTCAACAAACTTAAAGTCATGAGGACTATTAGGGAACTTAAGTGTACTGTCCCTGTTCGATACAAAGGTAAAATAAAATATTGTGTTAGTCCAATCAAGTCTGTATTTTTGAGAACAGGCACCATCCTACCATAATGATCCAGCAAGGTACTAAGCTCCGAGTAATTCTCAAATAGCGAGCAAAAGTCGAGCTTTTCGTGCAGTGTTGGCAAAAATTCATCAGAGTATTTTGGTCAATTTTAACGGCATATAGCAGGTTGAGGCCTTTGGTACAGCAGTCGCATCAGTGAGCCTTCCAGGAAGTATGAAGTTTAATATGCTGACTGTTTCAATTGTCAGTCCCTTTGACACATTTGCTTTGCTTCAATGTAACCTGTTCTGCAGCATTATCTTGAACGAATGTTGCTGCCGGTGTTTTTGCAACAAGAATAGCATGAATGAAATGGATGCAAAAAGTTTATTTCAACAAAATAAGACCTCCCACAAGCACAAAATAAGAAATGAACTAAATGCAAATTAAAAAGAAAAAGGAACATTAACAAAAAAAAAAAAAAAAGCTTGTTGATCCATGGGCATGAGTGCCTATCTTGTAGACGGAAGTTTTTTTCACAACTTCCTAACAGAAGACATTTCTCTATTTTGGAGCAGTCTGGCTGCTCCAAAAGACCTAAATTAAAGAAAAGAAAAACATTAAAAGCAGCATACACCAAAGCATAAAAATTAAAATTACTAAGCTGTTTTTGTCTTGTCCCCCATAGGAATAAGCAGCTGTACATAGTACTTTTCTTATGCTAAATATAAGTGAAAAAAGAGAGTATTTGAAATGGAAAGGGCACACTGTTGCAGATGAAAATGTGTGACCTGATAACCAGTTGCAAATTATTTCATTAAATTTGTGTCCCAACATTTACTGCGGTGTTGCGAGGAATCAGCTGACGCTGACAAGGTTTGACCAGAGGAAAATTGGCGACCTCTCGCCCGGGGGAGGAGGCAGTGGATGATGCTTTTAGTTTTTGTTGATGTTTTAGGCTAGGTGGTGGAAGCTGCCACCCATTATAAAGGGTACAGCTGTTATTATCCATCTAGTAGTCTCGAGAGCAAGTTTTTTTTTTTTTTTTACAACAATTGTTATTGAAGTTGTTGGCCACGATGAGTGTTTGAACAGAATTGTAATAATAATTTGCAACTAATTACAGGGTCACATGCCTTTTTAAATATATCAGTCAGTTTTTTTCATATCAAACTCTAATAATGAAAAGTAAGAAATATGCTTTGATAGACGTGCTGCGCTGCGAAGTTCTATTGTAGAACTTCGCAGCGCAGCACGTCTATCAATGTACAACCAACTAGCCCAAACCCAAGTCCAAGCTTTATTAAGAAATATGCAGGTGGAAACCTAACAAAGGTAAAGAACAACAAGAATAAACATAACAAGGGTAAATCATACCTGCCAAGTTACCCGTATTACCCGGGAGACTCCCGAATTTTGACAAATTCGTATGATTGCCAGAAAAATCTCCCAAGAAACTCAAATCCCCCCCCCCCCCCTTTCCCTCCTCGCACTTAAATAAGTAGTTTTTGCCATCGTAACAAATGGCTGCGACGATAGCGAGGCGCAGCAGTCCTTCGCTAGCATGAGCAGTGCAATATAAATATAATGAAGTTGTCTTCATTTACATTTGTTATCAATGTCTCTTTTTAAAAAACCTTTACCCCCCCCCCCCCCCCCCCCGCTTAGAAATTCTCCCCGATTTGGTTTTTCCGAACTTGGCGGGTATGGTAAATAAAGTTCAAGGTCTTGAAAGTCATTTAGGATAACCTCTGCCTATTCTTCTGCATCCCAGTGACAATACACCCTCGACTGCATGAAAACTGTATGCCACAATTAGGTTTTCTTGCTAAACACTCCTCGTGAAAGAGGGATGGACAACCTACACATTGAATAATGCCAACAGCACCGGCACAAAGCAGAGGCTACCTGCACAAGCAATGAACAGCATAAGCGAAGTCTTTTGGTCGCACTTAAGAAACAATAAAATTTATTATGGGAAAGTCTCATCATTCCCTTTAGAATGCAGTTTAGTAAATGGGTCCTCATTGACTGTTGTCAGAAGCTTACAGAGGTAAGGTCTTTGCCGGATGCTATGTATTGCATGTTAGCTATTGTGAATAAGCCACAATCCAGAGTGCCGCCTTGACTTTGTGAGCCGCTACGGTGGCTCCGAGGCGAGACCGCTGGCCTACGGATCCCCATGTGGCGGATTCGAATCCCGGCCGAGGTGCCCGCAATCTGATGGAGGCTTATTGTGGAGGAGGCGCCGTGTAACCGAGCTTTCGGTTGCATGTCAAAAGATCCCCAGGTGGTCCAAATTAATCCTCAGTCCTCCGCTGGGGCAAGCCAGATGCCCGTCGTTGGTATGGCACTTAAAACCCACAAATTTAGCTTTGACTTGGCCTCGACTTTGTGCAGGTTTTATAAAAAAACATTTATAGTGGCCAATTGTAACTTCAGAATGCTGCACAGTTGCTTGACAAAATCAGGAGGAACATCGTCAATATAACCATACGCAAAGACAGAGTTTGGAGGTGACCCAAGGTTTGATACTGAGAGCCAATGCAGTGACGTGATCGCTCAGTCGTTTTGGAGCAGCTCTTGGAGCGGCCAAAAGAACTTTTGGAGCACAAGCGCACATTCCATTTTCATTCATAGCACTGCAAATATTATATTAAGATTCATGTGTTGACCTGTCCTGTTCTCACTTATGTGCAACCTTTTGTTATCATTGATTGCACAGCAGGATTGACTTCCTCAAGCACAAAACTAGCAGTTTACCTGCATGCAGACGCACCAGACACGGTGACAAGAAGATGACAGATGAAGGACAGCATGAATTGTGGTTAATTGTAAATTTAGGTATGGAATCCCAGTGAAATAATGCTAGAATACAATAATTTTGTGCCTAAATTTGTTTCCTTCAAGTTCTAGAGGTTGTAATGAAACTGCAGTTCTTAATACAGAAACAAAAACAAAAAAACTTGTCATTTGATTATGAAACATCAATTCTATTTTATACCTAAAACTTCATAACAAAAAAAAAAATTACCGCATCTTTACGTGGTGAATGATGTTGATTGGGGCAAAGCTCTCGGTGGTGCTGATGATACTGATTTTGTTCATAGGTAGTGCTGGGCTTTGGGTTGCATTGGTATGGAATGTGTGGTATGGAACGTGGTTATATACGCATTTGAGCATTTGACAGCAGCGCCCTCTCCTGTATAGACGTTGAGCAGCTACATGCAACGTTTCATCCACGACATCCCCAGCTCTTGAGTTACTACCACATCTCGGAGCTCCCTACTCATCCCGCAGTTGTGGCCGAGTGGTTAAGGCGATGGACTAGAAATCTATTGGGGTCTGCCCGCACAGGTTTGAATCCTGTTGCCTGCAAAAACATTTTTTCTTTTTTTTAAGAAGACATGGGATGACAATCGATGTGAGCACGGACGCCGGACAAGGCTAGACCCTAAGGAGTTTCGCCCCTAAAATTTGCCTGTAAATGATAAATATGCGTTCTTATAAACAACTCCGCCAAACTCGTTAAGGTTCTTCTCAAGCTTGCATTCTCTACTTCTGGTAATTTAGCTGCTAATTCACTCACACCTAGATAAGAGTGACAACTAAACAAAAAAGTTGGCATAAAACATTAACTTAAAGAAGAGCCCAGATAAATATATTTGCAACACTGAAATATCCTTCCTAAATCTAGAATTGGAAAAAGATACCTCCACAATACTGCAGTCAGTCTATCATACATACAAGCCAAATTTTATTCAAAAATCGTCCAGTCTCGCTCTGGAGGCAAGCTTTCCCCTTAGCACACAGGTGCACTGCAGCGAAGCAAGACACAAAATCTCGATGCCTACTCCGCGGTTGTCGCTTCACTGCAGTACACCAGTGAGCGGTGAGGAGCGCACTCCACGAAACTAACCCGCCAGAACAGAACGCGAAAATTATTGCGGAACTTCCGAGTGTTAGAAATAGTCTCAAATAAAATATATTCTAGAAAATAAATGAGATCTTGACAACTAAGCTTTTGGCAATTAAAAAAACACTGGGTTTAATATAGTCGAAAGTACAAATTTAGGCCATAGTTCCCAAATTTACAAATTTGGGAACTATGGTGGTTGCATACCACCATCGCACAATGCTCTTGCTCAGAGTCTTGCAGATAGACTGCTGTATAGTTCTTCTCTCGTGGTGCTTGGTCTCGCCTGGCTGGCAGATGCTGCATCCGGTCCGACGCCAGCCAGTTGCATCTTCATAGCGCTGGAATCCACGTTTGAGACCCCTGATGCCGAGGAGTCGGTGTTAACACATGCCTTTAAGAACACAACATTCGTGCCCTCTGAGCTTCGTAGGAGACTTCAGGGATGCGCCCGGCAAAATAGAAGAAAAAGGGCAAAACACAATGGCACTCGCTTACACGAGTAATGTCTGTGTTTGATGCGAAATCAGACCGAGTTAGTATGTTTTATGACGTAATATTCTAAAGATCTGCAAACTCGCACAATCCTATCGTTCCGGCCGAATTGCAAGTTGTTAAAATTAAGTTTTGGCGCAATGTTGGCCCGAGTTCCTCAGATTTTGGTCAAATGTAGCAAGATGTAGTACTTCGGCACAAGTATCACATCACTGCCAATGGTCTGGAACTTTTGTACGCAATAGCTGAATGAAAGCATCTCTCACCATTTTGAATTTTAGTCCCTCAGCTAACAGAACAGCTTGAAAACCACCCCAATGTGGAAATGTTTTACGTGTTAAGTACCGCACAATATTCATAACACTGTCAGACAGAGAAACTGTTGGATCTTACACATGCGAGTTCTTTTTCAGTAAGTGAATAACTTTTCTAGAGAGGAATTAACTCTGCCTCTATCATACTAAGGTTTAAGTGCCTTGTTGTGGAACATTTTAGAAAGTGCATGCTTTCTTATAACTGTCACATTTTGTGGTCCGCCTCCTGCATTTGATCAAACTAATGCACAGTTTTTTCGGAAAAAGTTGCCCCACAGATTGTTGTCTATTAGCTGCTGCTGAGATACATCCTCTCGAGCTGCACAGGGTGCAACAGACTATGGCAAGAGCTGCACCTGGTTGCTAGGGAAGGTTGTAAGACTGCTAAGGAACGCCTGAATATCGATCAATTTTTCATTTAGCTTTCGTTCATCGCATTGGGCTAAGGAGTTAGCTGTTGGTTTGACTAGATGAACTCAACCATGGAGTACTTAAATTTATCAGATTGAACTAATAAACATGTCTTTGACCTTTTTTTTTTTTTTTTTTTTTTGTTATAATACATGCAACGTTTTTTGGTCCAGTCTTCAAGTGCTGCTAAATAGGTTGGATAGTTGCTAAACTTGGCCTGCAGGAAAATGGTTCTGCAGCAGGGCTGTGGCGGGATGCTTGCCTCCAGTGGCCCTGCTCTTTGTCGCACATGCTGGGCTGTCCTCCCCCAAGCCAGAAAATGGATTATCAGACACATACAAAGAACAGAGGTACCCTATGCAAGGTCTCCTCCATCCCAAGCAATGGTGGGGGATGTACTTCACCCACGCTGCTTCCCTCCTCCCACCATGCTTTGGAAAGGGCACACTACCTTGGTTTCAGTCACTTCAAAGGCCACCGACTTACCAACCTCTACAGAAGCTGTGCTCCCCGAGGAAGTGACTTTTAGGCACTTCTCTGCACTAGCTTTCCCACCCGAAGCATTGCCAGTGGCACCGGCTGCTTGCTCCCATGCCTTTACAGGAGCTGTGCTCCCCAAATAAGAGCCTTCATTGTTGTCCCCTAGTACTGCTGCTGAATCCTGGCCCTGGCCACCTTCTGCACGATGTTCTGCACCTGCTGGTCCATGAACTTGGCAAGAACCTGCCCAGATAGTTGAGAGTGCCCAACTATTAACCTCTACACTAGAGCACCAAACCTGACTGTCAGCCTAACTTAATTGTCTAAGTTAGTGTCCATTTAAAATTTTAAGCAGTGTTTCATAAAGTAAAGCATATCTAAAAACTACTTGAAGTAAAGTTAATTATGTACATCAAGTTGAGTAGTAAGTATACAGGGCGTGATGCAGTTGAAGTAAAGTACAATAAATGCAGACTTTTTTTTTTTTTAAATAAAGTAAACTGATGGTCCTCTTCATTCCCACTCTGAGTCTTTCAAATCATGGTATGCATAGGTACTCAAGTGTGTAATATGGGAATTATTTGCGGTACTAGCGGCAAATATCAGACATAGCCAAGAGGCCACCCAGTACTTTTTTTGTCTCCGATGAGCTATACATGGCTTGCATTTTCGTTACATCAGCAGTCATTACTCCATACCATGCTCCTACCTTCTGCAGCATAAATTTCACACCTTCAAACTTGTACTTCTTGGCCAGAACAAGTAGGAATGACATTGCGTGCACTTATAACTGCCAGTCCTCTGAGAGGAATGGCCAGAAGAGATTTCGAAAGAAATCAACACTTTTGTATGATAACAGCTTAGCACTTTGTTGTTAGGTTGGTGCAAAATTATTCTCTACCTCAGAAGTTGTAGGTACTATTTGGAAAGCCAAGGACGTTGGCTCATGGGTTTTGAAAGAGCCTAGATTTTCCTGAGCCCTCACAAAACAAACCAGTGCTCAGATCAATGCATTTGTCCCTGTGTGTTTCCCAGAGCTGTATGAAACATCCGAGACGAAGTATGGTTAAAAGAGTTCAAAGGAACCATTCTCCAGATCCAGTAACAATATGACATGCGGATACACACATTCTATGCGCAGTTAATACCAGCGGAACCAATGATATCAAAATCAGAGTTGAAAAATGGTTCCCTAAAACTCTGTTGTCTTCTAAGAACGATGAAAAAGACATTGTTCTCAAAGACAATATGAAGCTTTGCATCGTCTGCTTATGCACCTCGCTAGGTAAGAATATACCTCGCAGTATTTCTCCAGAGTTAACCTAGCACCGTTTAGTGACGCAAATTTAGTAAGACCAGGTTTGGAGAATGTACTTGAGGTAGGGAGTTGTAGTTTCCTTGTAAAGTACTAAAAACAAATACTTCCAAGTTCTCGTGAATACCGAGTATAGGGTGATTGTAATGTTCATACACCCTCAAAAGTAAAATTTTTGAAACAATTTTTTTTTTAGGTTTATGTGCTAAACGCAATGGAGGGCACAGGAATATTTAGACCACCGGGGGGATTTTTTGTTGAGCAACCGAAAGCTCGCTTTACACGGTGCCTTTTCTGCAATAAGCCTCCTTCACATTGTAAACACCTCAGTCAACATTTTTTTAAGTACATTGCGAGTGAATATGCACAGACGCCTACTAGTACGGCTACTACTGTAGCCATCTTTGCGATCAATGTCTCTATATTTGTGCTCGTCGGCACAGACGCCATACCTTGTTGCCGATCTGGCTTGGGTGGATGCCGTTGCAATAGTGGGCGCTACTAGGGTGATGGTGTTTTTCTTGTCGCTCGCCAGAGAACACCATCATTTATAAAGTGCTTATATAAGAACCGGTGCGGCGCATCGAAATAAAAGGGCTTTTCCTTCTTTTTAGGTGTGGTCACGAGCTGGGCTGCTGTTACTTGGTTGTCGTCCGTTCCTAACATGGTGTCGGAAGCTGGCTAACACCGTCACTATGGCAGAAGGTGACCTCCATATCCAAGTGGTTTGCGTCGGAGCGTCGGGAGTTCATCCTTTAGCATTATTCACTTTCACCAGCCCGGCGGAATGGCCGACTTGGATTGCAACGAGGACAGTCAGGTATGGATCAGAGTTCTTTGCAAACAAGTCTTTCACGGTATGCACCATGCGCTCTACTTCACCGTTACTCTGGGGGTATCACGGGCTGCTGTCTCTTCGTCATCGTCCATTCCGAATGTTCCAACTAAAAGGATGTGACTATGTTCTGATTGTAGACTACTATACTCTGTTTCACCTTGTGTTGTACCGTAGGAAAGGCTACAAGCACGAGCTCCTTGCTCTAGGGCACATCTCGGCGGCACAAGCTCTGGTGCATCAAGGGCAGCTGCCAACGCTAATAGCTCACGCATCTAGCCTTCGCTGCGGCACTGCATAAGGTGAAACAGAGTATACTCAAGGTTTCCTGAGGTCATCTCTCTCGGATCTACATCTGCGCAAGCAGCCATCTCGGCTGTCAAGAGTTGCATGGCTTGCTATGGAATCCCGAACGTTGTGTGGACAGATATTGGACCGCAGTTTGCATCTCACGAGTTTGCAGACTTTGCTCAGGCGCAGATTTCGCCACGAGACTAGGAGCCAGCGGTACGCCTAGAATAACGGCGAAGTAGAACGCATGGTGCATATCGTGAAGAACTTGTTTGCAAAGAGCACCGATCAATACCTGGCTCTCCTATTGCACCGAGACACACCCGGTGTCAATGGTGTTTCTCCTGCCCAGTTGTTAATGGGAAGAAAACTAACTTGACTTCCTGGTCTACCAGAACGACTTCAGCCATCACTGCCAAGCCATCAGAACTTCAAGGCAAGAGATGCCGCAAACACGTCACAACAGGCAAACAACCACAATCGCCGGCATACTTCAAGTCCTCCGACCCCCTTGAAGTTGGGGGAGGACGTGTGGGTTAAGGACGTCAATTGCCGAGGCAGTATCCTCAGCCCCGCTCAGTGACCAGAGTCATATGTGGTGGAAACGCCCAGGGGAACTCTGCAGTGAAACCGTCAGAATTTAATCCCCTTCTCAAAAGGCCAGTCAACAGAGGAATTGCCAGCCAGTGAACAAAATCAAGGACCAAGTTTACAGCAGTCTACGCCCGGTGAGGGTCAACCAGCATCATCGCCAGAGCCTCAGCAAGAAGGGCTTCGGCTGAGTCGCACACTTTGCGGTCGTGTGATTGGACCGCCAAGGCGACTGACTTATAGATCTTAAGGGGAGATGTAGTGGGCACTACTAAGGTGATGGTGTTTATCTTATTGCTCGCCAGAGGACACCATCATTTATAGAGCGCTTATATAAGGAGCGGCGCGTGGAAATAAAAAGGGCTTTCTTTTTTTGGTTGTGGTCACGGGCTGGGCTGCTGTCACTTGACTGTCGACCGTTCCGAGCAGTCGCGACCAATCCACTGCTGCTACTCGTTGGCCAAGCCGCTGCGGAACTCGAACCCCTCTTTGCGACAAAACTCGCGCTGCAGGGGGTTACCTCCCGGTAGTAGTTATTCATAACCTGCATCTCGGCAGCGTGACTACGCTGTCATTCCAATGACCAGATTTGTTGTTGCACACGCTAGCACTAACGCTGGTGTTGTTAGTGCCGACGTGCACGATGGCAACGTCAAAATCGGCAAGCCTGTCAGACCGTGAAAACAAGTTCTCAATCCTAATCTTACTAGATGCGGCGACTTCAACAGTCCTCCGGTCAATCGACGAGAAGTACTGGTTCGAGTAAGGGTCACCGGCTACCAAAACACGAGGCACGTTGGGAGTGCGACCACGCTCGTTTACAACCCGATACAACATCCAAATTAACGCGTTCAAAGCACAAAATACAGACAATGGCAGTAAATACTAATGAATATGGTTAAACAAATAAGTAATCAGGCAAATGACAAAGGGAACGCTTCAAATGAGTGCAAAAAGCTTGCGTGAAACCAACCCAAAACTTGACCAGTCGCAGACTCGGGAAGGGTAGTGACCGCGGTGACAGACACACGAGGCTGCGACACCAGAAGTGATGTCACCCTCAACTACCGGTGTCGAAGGAGCCATGCCCAGACAGGGCAAGCTACTTTGACACCGGAAGTGACGTTTTACTACTTCCGGTGTCGAAGGAGCCGTCTCCGTGTGGACATGGCTCGAGCGACGGCCGTCGGAGCAGACACTCCCTTATATTTTTGCCAACGACCGCTCGCCGAGGGGGCAAAAAGGAGAGACAGACACGAACCTGCGTGCACGATTTTTGTGAAACATCTTACAAACATTAATACGAGTCCATATTATATGAACGAAGACGTTTTAGCGCATTAGAGTTTAGCGAATAGAGATCACATACGCGAGTCGACGTTTAGGCATTTGTAGGGACGGCAAACTGGGCATCCAAACAGACCGCGCCAGGCGGTCTGTTCAGAACGATAGCAAGGGGTGCTTCGCTATAGTTTGGGGAAAATAATATGAACTCAAGTTCGAGCGTCCATTGCCAAAGGTTCGGCAAGCTCGGAAACAGGACAGCGGCGGCCTTCATTTTACCTATTCGGTCAAATGAACGCCGCCATTCGCTAAAGTGGCATGCGATGAAACGTCGTGGGCCAGGTTTCGCTCGCTAAACCGTCGTTCGATCAGTACAAAAAATGTTTTGTGTATTTTATCTTAATAATTATGATCCATGGCAACCAGCCTATCGTTGCCTACCTCACTTTACGTCGTAAAATAGCGCGTTGATGTCACTTTCATCAGAGATACCATAACAACGCAGTACTTCACAGCCGGCCGCTGAATCACCCGTCTAATATTTTGTCACGGATTTCATCATATATATATATATATATATAAAGTAGACATTCCAAAACAAGAGTCATCCATTCCCAAAAATTTCAGTGAACTGGAACTACCTTCCCACATCTGTTGCCACAATTGCCACTTACTCTATGTTTAAAAATTGCCGTAAATAATCTATACAGCTCAGACTGAGCTCCAAAGTGTACGGCTTTGTTCTGTTCTCTTCGAACTCCCGCTCACCTCTGTAATGCTGATGGCCCTGAGGGTATGTCAGTTAAACAAATGAATAAAAAAAGTAAGTGCCTCGCCTGAAAAACCTCTTAAAGAGGTCGCCTCTTTAAGAGGTTTGCAGCTTGCCGAAGCAATGAAATCTGTGTTTTATTCGAACCCGTTGGTCAGAGTACACCTCATCATTAATTAAACCACTCATTGGATCATTCACCTCAAAGCAATATGTTTACTTCCGAGCGTGTTCGTGTCGCTCAACCTACTTTGAGCGAAATGCAGTCGAGATAACTAATGATGGCGCTCGACTCCACTTATCTCAGCTTTGAGCCGAGGCGAGGCGCGCGACTCACGCGCGCCTCGCGCTCGTTGTTTTACGCCGGGGTTTGGCTGCGCATAGACTCGTATTCATGGGTAGCGTACTGTGTTTTCGGAGTTCATGTTTGAATAGAATCGGAGCGTGTTTTTAGGAGTTTATTTTGTAGCGTAGTCTACACTGGCCGAGGTTGAGCAGTTTCGCGTGGCTTCTGGCGAGCCGTGCTGCGTATGCGCGAGGAGCAGTGACGTCACACGTGTCAGCACCGACTGGCCTACCTTCAAACTGTACCACAGTTCGACTAAACATCTGTTGGACAAAGAGTCAATCATTTGCTAAAGTCCGACGGGGCGGTGTTCGCGAGTATAATAGACTCGGAAACTTGATGGGACGCAAGTTCTTGAAGCGGGAATCTCTACGAAGCGTTTTATTAGAGGACAGGGTCTTCTAGTTTCACCCCTTGACATTGCTTTCAGTCAGGATGGCACGCGCTGTGCAATTGATTGGGAGCTAGTGCGCCACTTTCCGCGAGAACACCAGTAATGCAGGCGGCTGCTACCAACGGAGAAAATGCGAATGACAAGGTCTAAAGTATCTAGACTTAAAGGGGCGGTGCAACGATATTCAATTGGAATGTTTTTCACTTTACACGAGCTTACTGGCACTAGTGGTTCTCAAGGATACTCACACGCAACACCACTGGCCAAGAAACTCCTTTGTTGCGCTGTAATTTCGAGGACAAAACCGAGCGTTTTCATTCAATCTCTCCTCCGCAAAACCTGATGACGTAGCTGGGCGGTAGCAGTACCGCCCAGTGACGATATGTGAATGCGGCTCATAGATTGGACCCGAGCATGGCGTGGACACTCGATTTGGGCTCGTGATAATCGATAGCTCGAGAAGCATTCGGGTATGTCCGGTGTCCAAGCGCTGCAATGACGACAACAGCCGAACCATAACAATGTCTGGAACGCAGCGCGTGTCCTGTGCCTTGCCAACCCCAGCGCGTGGCTATGATCAACACTGGCGGCATATAATCGGCTCCAGATCACGTGGCCGCTTGTTCTGGCTGCGAGTTGAGGGGTGAACTTTGCTCGTTTTTCTTTATTTTTTTCTACCACTTCGATTGCGTGTGGTGAAAAACGAACGGGTAATTTACAGGTCATTAACGTCAGGGATCCGTCCTAAGCGGTATTTGCGCAAAATACAAAAATACAAAAATCGTTGCATCGCCCCTTTAAAAATGATTTTCCTAACGTTATACTCACATGACGTGACGTGAGCATGTAAAACGTAGTGCTCAATGGCTCCTTATTTCACATCATTTTTCCACTATATTTTATACACCAACTCATGTTTACAAACAAACTGGAGCGCTCCTAGCCGACGCCACCGGCGCCGCGCATGCGCGATGGGGTGTGGGCAAGAAGCTCGCCGCGTCGCCGATAAACAAACCATTGAATTGCGTTGTTGTCGGCGGTGGTGTGAGTCTAACGCAGGTTTCTGCGTTGGAATTGTTGATTCTACGTCTTCCTGGGCAATGCCTGACTACTTGAGCAGCCTCAGCGAAATTACTGAGGCTCGCTATACCACAAAACTTCGCGTGAATAATGTGACATGCGGCGATTCATTCCGCGTGGACGCCGCAGACGGTACGCTAAAGCCTGATTCGCATGATGAAATTTCGGTCGCAATTTTCAGTCATGACGTCGCTCGGGTTACAACAGCGTGAACCGTAGCTGAGATGTTCAACATCGATACTGAAAATCGCAAGCAGAATCGGACCAAGTGAATGAGGCATAACAAGTCGTTGATGGTCACTGGTAACAACGATCACCATCTCCTTGTATCCACTGTTTACATCGAGCCTGCTTACCAATTTTCAAACTTAAGTATTTTGAGGCCTGCACTCACTTCTTATCGCAAGTACCGGGCCAACATTTGGTCCACGGGCCGGTGTCGTCTAAAAGAGCAGACGACGAGCAGAAGCGTTTGAAAGAGCAGACGACAGTTCGAGTGATCAGGCGGCCGTTCGATCTTGAAGACGCACTGAACGTCCGCATGCAGGCGGTCCCAACAACTTGGCGGTATTCTCGCTTTCATGACGGAACAAAACAAATAAATCTGATGACAACAAGTATCCGTGAATTTAACCCAAACTGCTTCCCGCCCAAGCAATCGTGGTCCGACGGCGACTGGTTTTTCATTTTCACGGCACATATCCACGTTCTCGGACGAACCGAGCACATCAAAACTGATCTTCAAACCTTTCTCGACTCTTTTGGTGCAACCCCGTCGCGGCGTTTTGACGAGAAGGCAAGTTTTTGTCAGGTTTTTTTTTAATACAACCCTAGAATACACGTCTCACATAGGGACTTCCGACTTCAGCCCCAGACCGGAAGTGCGCCCGACGCGCGACCATCGCGCCGTGACGTAACAGAGATGAGTTCGTTGGTTCGTGTATAGCCAGAACATAATTTCGGCGACATATTCGCCTATACATGAACTCATCTCTGTTACGTCACGGCGCGGTGGTGGCGCGTCGGGCGTAACAGAGATGCTCCTCAATACAAAAACCAAAAGGCTCCTTAAAACCAAAACCGACAGACTCCACACGTAACCCGTAACAAAAAAGAACAGGTCACAACGAGTCGACAAAGGACGTAAGGAAAAACCCGAACAGCGAACTTTTCCCTACACTTGGCAAGGTCAAACTTTGTACCTACAGGTTGCCTCAAGCTTGAAACACAAAAGCTTACCCCAAGCTTGAAACACAAAAGCACTAATCACAAACGAGCGTGTTGGGGACGAATTAAGTAAGTGCTTATACTTCCTTTACACGTCTAAGAAACTAGGGAGTTTTGTGTGTTGTTCCAATAATTCCTGTAAGGATACCCGATACTCCTGTGTCATTTTTGTGCATGCATAGTATCGTTATTGGGTATCGTTACCGAGCACAAAAACCGTCTACAAGAACTCCCTACCGTTTATCGTTTTTCTAGTGAAATTAAAGACGACGTTAGCAAGGAGAAGCAAGCTAACTAACCTCGAAATGAAGGGAAACAGAGGTCGTCTTCGCTCCCTCAGCTCCCCTTGATAACCGGTGATTTCTTCAAGCAGACAGAGCCAGTGAGGACGCCTTCAGCGAACATCAAACATAGTCTTTGAGATGAATAGAGGCAGGTTCTTAATTTTGTTTTTGTTTAAAAAAAAGGGTCATTTTGAAACAAGGTCTGGTGGGAAATGCAAGATGGGAGGACGGGTAAACAGCTCGTCCACACTTCTAGACGGGGAACACAGCCTGTCAGAAAAACTGGACATCGCCGGCTCATCTGACAAAAAGGTGCAATGCCAGGCTCTAAAGAGCGTGGGAAAGTAAAAGCTCTTTGAGTGAACCGACGATACGTGCCCCAGAACAGCACAGCGACGTGCATGAAAAAAGTTTAAAGGAACGCGGCAAGCCCGGTTCAATAGTTTTCCATGTTTAAAAAATAACAGGCTTATTCAGCTCTTTGCGCACCTCGTGTGTTTGTTTACCCCTCAGACGCTCTGATGTACCGCTATTTACAGCTCGTTTTGACCAATGACGGCGCGCGCTTTTCTGTCTCGTCTTCGCGCGTTCTGTGCGCGCCCTTTATGTTTCCCGCTGATTGTTGTGATATTCTTCGTATTTACTCCTTTTCAATGGGTCACGATAATGTTCGCAAGCGCGGAAGACACGTTTTGGTACCCCTACTTGCACGTCGTATAAACACTTACTTCGAATTTGACTTCGACCTCGACCGCGCACCTTGTTTTTCATTGGTAGCCTGCTTGCAACAGAA